CCACTTGGTTGGTTTGGACGCCAAAAACCAATGCCGAAAACCGAAAGCCGAACGCCGGTTTCTGAAAACCGAACGCCGGATGGCTTGGTTTTTGGCTTGGATGAACTCCAAGTGTTTTGACCCAAGTTTAAACTTAAGAAAAGTATTTTTGAACATGTAAAAGAGATTTTTATGAATTAAGCCTAGAGAGCCAAGATTTGGAATTTTGTGCCGGTCTTGATCACATTAAGACCGACTCAATACAATTCTAGTTCTTCGTTCTTGATTCTGGGTTCTTGGTTCTCAATTCATCATGCCATGTTCCTTCGCCTTAGTTGTGCTCACTTTAGCTTCGATATGTCGCGGCGGTTTGGCATTATCAAAACCTGTCATAAACGAACACAGTTTAGTACGACGTAGGCGTAAACCCGTGTTCCAACAGAAACCTTAGTCTCCTTGAAAGGAGCCTAGAAACTGTGGGTGGTAACTGAAAGCCTATTTACCATGTACGTACACAAGCCCTCCGGATGAAACCCGTTGGATCCCTAAGGCTCCTGGACGGGCCCACGGAAGAGTCGCACTAGGCCTGACCTCTTGACGCGGTATGCAATGGTATACCGTAACCTACGACATGTGCTTAGGATGATCATATGATGTTCTAAATGGTATACTACCTTTGGATTTAAGTGAGCATGCTTGACTTATGATCCCAAAGACTTATTTTGAAAGCTAAGTCTTGGTTTCTAATCCATATTTCAATTATTGATTCTTACCTTGAAAGCACTTTGATTTCGGAACTTTCTAAAAGTTCAGCAGCCCCTGATAATTGATTATCATTTGGTGATAATCAATTATCAAAGTTCAGCAGCCTCTGATAATTGATTGTCACTTGGTGATAATCGATTATCAAATGTTCAACAGCCTCTAATAATCGATTGTCACTTGGTGATAATCAATTATCAAAGTTCAGCAGCACCTGATAGTAGATTACCAAAACTTGACAATCTATTATCAAAGCACTCGGGTTCTACTTTGGTGTGTCGAATTACGTTCAACCTTTTGAAAATTATAATGAACATTCAAGATTACTCCATAACTAAGACAAAAAGAAGGGGGGAGATTGGATCCCCCTGCCTCAGCCCCCTAGCTCCTTTAATGAACCCAAATTGACCTCCATTCATATTTAAAGTGTATGAAGGCGTGGTTACACAGAACATAATCCATTTAATAAACTGTTCTAGAAAATTGAGACTATGCAGTATACCTCTAATGGCATTCCAGCTCACTGAATCATATGCTTTTTGGACATCCAGCTTCATCATGCATCTCGGGGATATTCCTTTCCTCTTGTAGCCTATTGCTATCTCTTGGCATAAAAGTACGTTATGGATCAGTTCTCTCCCTTGCAGCATGCTATAGGTCTGTAGTCAGCAGGTCCTACTGGATCAGGCCTCTTGGGTATGATAGTAATGGCTGTTGAATTGATTTGTTGCAGTGTTCTCCCTTCTTTGAAAAAATCTAGTACAGCTCTAGTGAAAAGTTCCCCCACCTCTTTCCACTGATTCTTGAAAAACCCACTGCTGAACCCATCGGGGCCCGGGCTTTTCTTATTAGGTATTGAAAAGATGGCTTCTTTAACTTGTTGAGGAATGAAAGTTTTGAGCAGCCCTAATTGTTGTTCAATATTCAAACATTTTCCTCTCTTCATGATGTCTTCTTCAATCCCTTCTGTGTTCACTTTAGTCCCCAACAACTTCTTGTAAAAATCCTCAAATACTCTCGCAATCTCTTCTATGCCTTCAACACTCTTTCCACTCTCATCTTGGATCTCCAGTATCTGATTGTTTACCATCCTTTTCTTGAGCCACGCATGAAACATGTTTGAGTTCTTGTCTCCTTCTGTCATCCACTCTTGTTTACTTTGTTGGCATTTCATTAGGTAGGAAGCTCGTATAGCTTTGTGAAGCTTATCTAATAAATCTCTCTCCTTATTCACTAGATACTGTGATATACCAACTTGAATTTTGTTCTGGGTCTCCATCAGCTCCTCCCTGATTTCCTCCACCTGTTTATGAATATTTCTGTACCTAGTTGAGTGAAGTCTCCTTAGTGGATCCTTGAGAGCTTTTAGATTTTGGACAAGTGTGAACATACTCCTTTGTTTTTCCTATCATCACTCCAGATATGCTCAAGTATTGACTTAAATGTAGGGTCATTCATCCATATGTCACAAAATCTAAAGGGTTTCCCTCCCCCTTGCCTAGCAATCCTGGTTACTAGTAGGGGAGTGTGATCAGAGATTCCTTCATTCAGCTCCCTGGTTTTAAATCTGATTTTCATCATCCACTCCACATTAGCCAGAACTCTATCCAATTTTGAGAAAATTCTACTTTCAGCTTGTTGCCTATTAGACCAAGTGTAGTAAGGTCCAACAGATGGAATTTCTTCCAACCCACACTCCATCACACATTCTCTAAAGTCCATAATTTCCTCTTCAGTCACTGGGATCCCCCCTTTCCTGTCTTCAACTCTGAGTATGGTATTAAAGTCCCCTAAACAGCACCAGGGATCAGTCATGGATGCAGCGATTATCTTGAGCTTACTCCAAAGAGCCAGCCTTCCTTTTATATCATTGAAAGCATAGATAAATGTAACCCAATACAGCTCCTTAAGTTCAATACCTCTTACTTTGCAGTGTACATACTGTGCACCACCCTCTACCACTTGAACATGAACCTTCTTCTTATTCCAGATAACCCAAATTCTTCCTAGTGGATGGTACTCTATGTTGGTAAAAGTACCCCATCCACTAAAATTTTTATTGCAAATATATCCTCCTCTTTCTCCCTTTTTATTTTGGTCTCCAAAATACCCATCAAACTAATATTATACTTATTCAGAATATTTTTTACCTCCCACTGTTTATTTATACTATTTAAACCCCTAATATTCCAGCACAACATCATGATAAGAAAGGGTAGTGTCCAGAATATGGGGCATTTCTAAGGATGTCCCCCCCACTTTGTAGTAGTTCATCCAACGCCATCCTTCTGATACTCTTTTTCTTACTCACCAACTGGAACCCTTCTTGCTCATCTTCTCTTGTGGGATCCTTATCTTCCATTTCATTTCTCTTTTCTTCCCTTTTCTCTTCTGTCTTCTCCTCCATTGTTATCCCCTCTCCCTGTTCAGGACCCTCTGTACCATTATTCTGTTGTTTGGGCCTCCAGATCTTCTTCTGTTTTCCTCTATTCTGTTTGTCCTCACTTTTCCTACAGAGATCAATGGTGTGCCCTATGTTGATCAATTCTTAAACATAAAATATAAATTAGGGATTTAATCATGTGTACCTGATAATCCTGTAAACGCAGTTAGGGATGAGGCCATGATTCTCACACAGATCGAGTTCCCTTTTAGGGTGTATTGTTATGATGGCTAAGGTGAGGGCGAGACTCACGAGAATAGAGAGGCAGAGAAGAGACGTAAGATTGGTGTATTGATCTCTGCCTAATACCTCTATTTATATACACCCAAGGGGAAACCCTAATTAGGTCATAAGGGTAATTACGTCCATCGAATAATTACCAAATAAATACGTAGGGTATTTATTAGGTCAATGATCAATTAATTAGATAAATGATAACTCAGGCCACATAATAAAAACGTGTCCAACATTCTCCCACTTGGCCGAGTAATCATTTATGATGAGTATTAGATAAGTCTGATCAGATTTTAATACTCATTTTAGTTCTAAACCGAAATTGTAGCAGAGAAATACAGTCATAGAATCGATATTCAATTCAAGACCCCCATTAATCATACTACAATACCAAATTTAAAACTTAAATAAGCTAAGGATCAAATTGACAATTAAGCCCATAA